GTTTACGCTCCTAAAAGAGCACAACACCATAAAAGCAATGTGCGCTACATTTCAGGATACAACAACATCCAATAGCTTTGTGTGAGGAAGATTCCTTTAAAAAATTCTCCTTTTCCTGTGTACACAGATAAAATAACAACATGGAGAGTTTGGAGCGACATGAGGGTGAGCAAATGTTGAAAAATGTTGACAGAATTTTCATTTTTGTGGTTAAATATTCCTTGAATGTGAATGGATTAGAAAGGCCTGTAGAAGTAGATAAAGAAGATACTGCAGTGATGCTGTGGTTTGCATAACCCTGGTGCTACCACGCACCCTACAAACACACAACACACACTGTCTATGCCCTCCTCCCCTCTTCAAATTACTGCAGCCCTCATGAGCAGGAGCAGCAAGGAGCATTACGTCACCCCTGCCGCTCTCGCAGCCTCGCACGCTGGACTGTGGCAGGTTCCCGTGGCGACCGTCTCCTCAGGATGCGCTGCACGTGCGCAGGATACGAGGGAGGGAGGGAGGGAGGGATGGAGGGAAGGAAGAATACATGCACCCTCGCTGTCGTTAGAGAGCACCGGAGCCAAGCCGCAGGCCAGATAGCCCACGGAATAAGAATTATAGCCTGGCCTCTGTCAGTTAATTACCCCACTTTGCAAAGTAGTCATTACACCCCCTCAGCTCTCTCCAGCTACTAATGGGCCAGATTTAATCTAAGTGGGTTAAACATGTAAATAAGCTATTGAAAAACTCACACAGTATAAACAAACACTAGATGATAGATGTATAAACAAACACTAGATGATAGATGGAACGATAGATAGAACAATAGATAGATAGATAGATAGATAGATAGATAGATAGATAGATAGATAGATAGATAGATAGATAGATAGACAGACAGACAGACAGACAGACAGACAGACAGACAGACAGACAGACAGACAGACAGATGATTGCTATTCACAGATTATAGAAATATATTTATATTGCAGGGGTGATCTTACTCCCCTTCCAGGCTATGAGATGATGTGGTCTGTTGAATTGTTTCTTGCTTTTAGTGTAGGTTATGGGTTAAAATCTTGCTTGACTAACAATTTTTAAAAACTGTACACTAATGTTCAAAAGTTTGCGGTCTGTAAGATTTGTTATTGTTTTTGAAAGAAGTCTCTTATGCTCACCTGCATTTGTTTAATCAAAAATACAGCAAAAACATTACAATTGTGAAATATTAGCTGTTTTCTATTTGAATATATTTTTAAATGTAATTTATTTATGTGATGGCAAAGCTGAATTTTCAGCATCATTACTCCAGTCTTCAGTGTCACATGATCCTTCAGACATCATTCTAATATGCTGATTTTGTGCACAGGAAACATTTCGTCTAATTCATATAATTATTATTATTATTAGAGATGGAGCATGTGCCTGATCTAATCTGGATGTTTACAGCTGAGTTATAGTAAAAAATAAAGAATAGGAAATCTTTCCCTGAGATCCAGTAGAATCTTTAGGCCTGTAATCCAAAGAATATTGTAATGTTGATCACTGTAAATGAAATGGTAACTGAATAGTTTATCTTGTCTTGGTATGCTGTGTCAGATTCAGCTGTGTAAACATGGCTAATCTGTTCCATTCATAGGAATAATATAGTGATTTTAATTATCTTTAATTATGAGAAATTATTCACAATCTGGATGGATCCAAATCTTGGGTCCAGATCTGGACTACAGTCTGCTAATTGGTGACTTGTAAGGCGCTCCATAGAGGACGTGACCACCACTAGGCACTCGCTCTGGGAGTGTCGACATCACACATTTCTGTGCTTTCATTCGCTGTTTAGACTAGTGAAATAAATGCCCATGGGTGCACATTCTCTGTTATGAATGTGTGATCTTACGCTATCAAAAAATATCTTTACCATTGATCATCCACTTTGTTTGGTGAATTGGTGTAGAGTGCCCATAATGTACAGCTCATCTGACTACAGATGGCAGAGAACAGTGAACCTGCAGCCTCGGTGAAATGAAAATAAAACTCACCTTTATTTGGACACAAATTAACACATCTTTGCACATTCATCATTTCACATGAGGACTTATTCAATAATTCATGGCTGTGGACCGCGATGGTGTAATCTTAGCAACGTGGTATTCTGCATTTTTACTGATGCCGTTTGAAAGGGACTGATTGGCACTTTATCTCAACCTCTCCTCTGCTTGCACTGCAACATTAGGATGACTGAAGGATGATAAAAAGGACATTATTCTGAAGCCTGTGTCTTGTCTTGATATGATTTGGGGTGAATATCAACCTGAGAGGTAAAGACAAGAGAATATTTACACTTGGGTTTCATTTAGACTTAAGGGAACTAATAAATTCAAAGTCTGTCTTGGTATCTCAGGAACAGTTTAATTCAGTGAGAATGTCAGATTTATTTGTTTGTTTGTTTTTCTGACAAGAGAAATAAATGTTTCAGTATTAATATGTGGGAGCCATATGCTGCTATTATACGCAACTCAATATTTTAACTGCTAAACATTTGAATTAATCATAGAGAAACATTAAACAAAAATGATCAACTGCATAAAAGTATTTTTCTAAATGTATATTTGGTTTCCTTTAAAACAACGATTTTCTATATTAATATACTTTAAAATGTAAAACCGTTCTGCTGCGTAATAATTTTGTGGAAACGGTGATACATTTTTCCAGGGTTCCTTGGAGAATGGAAAGTTCAAAAGAACAGCGTTTCTTTGAAATATAATACATTATAAATGTCTTTACTGTCACCTTTGATCAATTCAGTACATCCTTGCTGATTAAAATGGACCTTTCTTAAAAAAAAAAAAAAAAATCTTACTGACCTCAAACTTCTGACCGTTAGTGTATTTATTTATTTTATCATTAAAATGTTGTTAAGGCAAAGTGCTTTGACCCCCAAAAGCATTTGAATATTTAAGCCGTATGGAATATATATGAATATCTTTGCATTATATAACAAAATTTGAAATTTATATAATTGCCATTTATTAAAATGTATTATATTTTTCAAGTAAAATATTTCACAAAAACAATTATGTTACAGAGACAGTCCACTTAAAAATGAAAATTGTCATAATTTACTCCTTATGGCTCCCTCATGACATACTCTCTCATGTGGAACAAAAGACAAGATTTTGAACGGCAATGGGGTCCAAAAATGTAATTGTGTGGACTGAAAAACTCCACAGAAGAAAGTCATACACGTTTAGACCGATATGGGGGTGAAGCAAATAATGACAGAAACTTTCATTTTGGGTAAACTGTCCCCTTGTGAATTGAGTTGTGAATTGAGTGACCAAACACACTTTTTGGGGCTGCTGAACTAGTCTAGATAGTGTTTCAATATTAAGCTTTTACGTCAGTATCAATTTTAAACTTGAATGTAACAGCTTTTACTATGCAATGAATGATTCATTCAGTGAGGAGAGACTGGACAGTGTGTGTAATCTTTGTATTCTGTCTCACTCACTCATACAAAAAAGTGATCACTCCATCAGCTCAAGCGCACAATAACCATGGCAGCCGACTCGACAGCGGTAAAGACGGGCGTCACACACCTCTACTCACTGCTGGCTGCTTTACTGTACTCCATCTGATGCAGATGTCTTGTAAAGCCTCCTCCATTAAGCACAACCGAGTATTTTGGACAACATGATGGATAACATCTCACTCACTGGGCCAGTGAGTCATAACTATGGAAAGATGCTGTTCAGCAGAATTCCAAAGAGGCTGTTTTCCCTGAAGAGGAAATAAAACACAAGTCTCATCAAAATGAACCATGTCTCTTGAGTCACCGTTTATCAGCTTTGATCAGGGCCGGAGCTTGTAAACCTTGGTGTGGTGCGACTCACCAGAGGGTCGAGATTTGTAATCGCAAACAGATTCATTACAGGAGGGCTGCATGTGACACGCACTGGAGCGCGAGCCATTGACGGACACTTCCATGTGCAAGCTACTCCATTAGCCCACTTCCGACTGTGGATATTATGTAGTAATGAGATAAATGCATTTACATGCCTTGGTGAACACTTCTTATTCTGCATTTGAAACCAGTGTCCTATTGTATCTGGTTAAGAAGTGCCTCACTCACATGTCAAGATACATTTATAGCTGGTTAGCACACTGTAAGGACTGTTTCTTCTGGACACTTTTTAAAGTAATGAACTCCCAGACAACACACTTTTCAAATTCACTAGTTTATGTTATTTGTCTACTAACCATATCCAACAGTATGATGCATAATAGATGTGAACGTTTAGTCATTTCTGTCCTCTTTTTATTTACTTAATTTTAAAAGTCATAAACAGTTTACCTTAATTTTCACACCACAGTTTTACAGCTAGCATTTTGTCTCCTAAATGTATACACCTGAATGATATTTTTGTACTTTTGACATAATTTGACAATTACATATTGATTCGAAATATTCTGCTCACAAGTGATATTTACAATTATATTTCTTTGTTTTATTCGCACACTATGTTTCACTTTCATCTCAAGCTGTTCAGTGTTTCTCTCTCTTGGGTAAACAAGTACACTAACTTTTGATAAAACTTTATTAGTGTAAAATGTGTTGGTTTGGGTGGAAATGACTTATTTTACACAAATATTGAAATGATTACTTCACTCCATTCTTAAGATGTTTATAGTATGTAATATTGTATTTTATAATGGATTTTCATAGGTTAAGACTGAAAATGTGGGCCAGGTAAAACAATAAAATCTATACAGAAAAATTGAAAAGAGAAAAGACATAACAAAAAATAATTCTGTTATCTGTTACTTTCAATAAAAATGAACACCTGGCATGTGTCTGTAAGAAAACTGAACAATGTCATATTTACTTACATACTCCACATACATTCTGTGTAGTTCTATATGTGCTCCTGTTTCCTGGGTGGATTGACATGAATACTTAGATTGTGACGTTCAGCCATAACCGATGCTTCTCTCCTTTATTTCAGGGATGACAGCGGCTGCTTCTCTGGTGTCACTAGCCTGGGCTCTGGCCTCCTACCAGAAGGCCTTGCGTGATTCCCGAGATGACAAGAAGCCCGTCAGCTACCTTGCCGTCATCATTCAATTCTGCTGGCACTTCTTTACCATCGCCGCTCGCGTGGTGACCTTCGCTCTCTTCGCCTCTGTGTTTCAGCTCTACTTCGGCATCTTCATTGTGCTGCACTGGTGCATTATGACCTTCTGGATCGTACACTGCGAGACCGAATTCTGCATCACCAAGTGGGAGGAGATTGTCTTTGACATGGTGGTGGGCATCATCTACATCTTCAGCTGGTTTAATGTGAAAGAGGGACGCACCCGCTTCCGCCTCTTCATCTACTACTTCATGATCCTGTGTGAGAACACGGCCCTGAGCGCGCTGTGGTACCTGTATCGCTCACCACCCAGCACGGACGCCTTCGCTGTGCCCGCCCTGTGCGTCATCTTCTCCAGCTTCTTCACCGGCATCGTCTTCATGCTCATGTACTACACTTTCTTTCATCCCAACGGGCCGCGTTTCGGCCGCTCGGCCAGCCTGGTCCAGCTCGAGGACCCCACTGCTACCTTTATGCTGCCCCCCGAGGGTGCCACTAACTCCCTGCGCTCCAACCGCGGAGGCACGCTGGCCAGGGACGCTGACCGCGAGGCCAAGTACAGCGAGCGGGACGGCTGCGTGCCAGTCTTTCAGGTGCGGCCCACCGCGCCCTCCACACCTTCCTCCCGAGCCCCGCGCCTTGAGGAGACGGTCATCAAAATAGACTTGTGCAGGAACCGCTATCCTGCCTGGGAGAGGCATGTGCTGGACAGGAGTATACGTAAAGCCATCCTGGCCATCGACTCGTCTCCGACCCCGCCGCGCCTCCAGTATAAAGACGACACGTTGGTTCAAGAGCGTCTGGAGTACGAGACCACCTTGTAGCCTGCGCTGTGGAAACACACGAACATGAACACATTACCGTCCACTTGAATAAACAGCAGGACTGTGGCAATAACGTTTCTAGCGTACATAGCATCTAGCCATGATGTTGATTGTCATGGACAAACCAATATAGGCACAACATATTTGTGGACGGATGGAATAATCGATCTTTTTTAAGCCGTTCTCTCATTGCATTTTATTTTTTATTACTTCTGTCTTGTCAGGGAATATCTGGGTTTCTAAAATTCATTGCACTGGCTGATATAGACCACTAACCCCTCTCTCCATTCCAAGAGTTGATCGTCCTCGGGCCAACGTCTATAAACTGCGAGAGGACATCCAGAACACTTGACAGGTTGTCTCTTACTGTAACTGCAAAACAAAGGCCTTTCCCTTTGAAACCAAGCATCCAGTGCAATGAAACGGCCTCAAAACCGGCCGCACTGAAGAAACAGTGGTCCAAATATCAAATTAATGGTACACGCATAAAAAAAAATGCTGATTAGACTCGAGACGTCCTTGTTTAGGGTGCTGTAACCTATAAGTAGTGTTTCATCAGCGGCTCTGTACAGTACCAGTGCCAAACGCTCCGCTCACACTGACTTCACGCTGAACTGTGGCTTGACCACAAACTGTATATATAAACAGGGCAGCATTTCAACCATCTACTTGAATCCTATACAAAGAAAAACGCTGAGAAAAGAAAGTTTGTGACCATCACAAGAGTCCAAGCCACTTGGGATGACAAAACAGGTAGAACACATGCTCGTTTTCTTCTTTGGGAGACGACAATAGGCCAAGAGAACACTTCCTGGCAGCTCCCTTTGGCGATCTGGCCTCATTCGCCTCACCGCTGTGGGCTGACAAGGATCCGTTTGGCTCACAGCAAAGTGGAGGGCACAGACCACCAAATTCACAGTGTCCGCCAACTGTATTCGACAGAACCAGGGTGCACTTCATCTTCTAGGTTAAAGATACAGTGTTCTTCTAGGCTGGGTCAGGTTTTGGTGCGTCTATGTTTTGTGTGCCGTGTCAATACAGAAAAGCGAGTTAAAGGTGCACGTATACACAATAAACGGGGTCAGTTTTCAGTACCTCAATTCATCCGGAAAGCCGCCGAAGTGTACTATTCCAAACTCTGCAAGGCAATCAAGACTTTCTCCATGGGGCTCTTCAATTGCCAACTCACGGTCTACAAATCGAAGTGTCAGGGAAAAGTAGTCTGTGACAGAGCACAGACTAGCTAATGTGCTCAGAATGACACTCCGGGCCCTACCGTTCAACACATCACATCTGCCTAAAAGAGCACTGTATCTTTAAATCTGCCAAAAGCATCCTTTATATATGAAAGTGTTGGAGTTTTCAACTTTCCGTTCAGTTGCAAGTGCTTCTCTGTGTCTTTATGTCGAATATCCAAAGGCATTTATGGAGACGTGGAGGTGAGGGCAGAAAAAGAAAACAAGCACAAAACTTGTCACAGGAAGGAGTCTCAGCACAATGAAGGATTTATTCGGTTGTTGTTACACTTACGTTGAGAGACAACTTGAAATTTTACTGCGACAGAAGCTAGATGTGCCTGTTGTGGATAGGTTGAGATTTTGAAAATGTGTGGGGAAAAAATGTTGTTTTATGTGTAACATTTTATATACTCCATTTTCTTTTGGTTTTCTTTTGTTTTTTGATGGATTTTAAAGGTGTCTAGCAAAATATTTGATTTTCAAGGTGCACATTATTTTGCTTAATGCCATTTAAGTGGGTGGAGATGACTGATATAGGACATTTAGATTAGTTTTGCTTCAGTTGGTCAAATCTGAACTGTAATTTGGGTTTTATTGTAACTTTGAAAAACACTCCTGAAGTGTTGTAACGTCCCACCATCGGTGGCAAATGAACTGAAAGCATAGTTGTTGTAGCCCGCAGCGATCTGCACGCTTGCAGATGAAGATCCTAATTGTGTTGCAAATAAAAAAAAGAAAATAGAACAGAAAAAAAAATTATTTAGATGAGATCGTATAAATCTATAGCCAGTACCACAGTGAAACGTAGACCTGTATATTTTAGCTATTTTGCAATTTTCCTAACACGTCCTTTTTTCTTTTCTTTTCTTTTCTTTTTTTCAAACGTGTCTTATACTTTTATTTCTCTGTGTGATGGATGATGATGATGATGCTTTGTCTCTTGGCATAAAAATTCAAAATAGCCCTGTCCCCTGTAGTCAGAGCACACAAAAAACTTGTTAGCACACTTATTTAGCAATTTTCACATTTAAATTGCTCCACCACCTACACAAGAAGGAAACAGAGTGTTACATTGCACACATCTGTGCTATTACGTATCAATGATTTTTCAAAATCATTCCACTTTTTTTTAGTTTTCCCATAATACCATGATATTTTTGTTTCAGTGATACCCCAAGCATGCTGCATACTGTGTTTTGGTTCATTTGATTAAGAGGAGCTTACTAACGGCAACACTGGCTGTTGTTGGTGGGTTTTGGTGACATTCATCTTTATCCAGCCATTTTACAGGTGTGAGGCCTCGATCATTTTTTAATGTTGAAACATTACATGAATTTAAAACAGTCAATGCAATGCAATACGTTCAGCATAAGCGGAATGAATCAAGGTCTTTACCTAAAAGGCTGTGTGTGGGACTGATGTTTGGAGATGCTGAATTTACCACACATGCTAGATTATTAGCAATGATAATGGAACGGAAGTAGCTGCTGATTTTTCTTCCGTATTGTGACTCAAATGTAATGGATTAGTAAAAACGAAAAAATGTAGGACAGGACTTGGTCCTATACATTGGTTGTTGACTGGATTTTGCACTCAAAATGGAAGCAAGATGAACATAAGCGTGCACAGACTGGATTAAGCAATGAGTGGAGAAGTCTAGCATACGTCACCAGAGAGAAGTCTGTTGTTTCAACTGGAAGATCCAGTAATGACATTTTGATGAAAACTTTTAGTCAAAATAAAAGTAATAAAAAAGAAACCTATAAATGGATGAATTGTTTACAATAATATCTATAACATGGATTTTTGAAAATTTCATTCCTACTTTAATAATAATCTGGCAGGGAGTGTGAATTTGGCCCAACATCAAGAAGCTATTCACGCAGTTTGCATTTTAAAGGGGTTCACTTCATACGTCCTAGTTTAACATGGACTACATGTTGTACATGACAACATTTAAGCTAATCATAATGTTACAGAAACTATGTATTTTTGTTTTGCACTTCCAGCTTTATGTGTTATCAGTAAATCTGATATCATAGCCCACCATTTCTTCGCTCTGGAAAGACTTTAATTCATACCTGTAACCTACCTCAAAGCGGTATTTTAAACAGACCACTCTCCAGCTCTGGTTGTTGATGTGGCTGATATGAAGGAATTTATTGCAATGGAGTCCCAGTGGATGAGCGGAGGAGTTGAAGGCTGTTCTGTTTATTGCCAGTACATCAGTAGAGCTCAGCTCAAATCTACAGGACTTATTTTACAATTATTCACAGCAGGAGAACATTGAATTCATGCAAGCTAGTTCAGTTTTATTTGCCTTAACCGACGCTCGCCTTTTTGTGGATCTTTTATTCATGACATTTTCTGTTTGTTTCTTTTGGTTTAGTTTTAGTCATGCATATGATGCTCCGGTTACTGTCGTGCTAGTATAATGACGTCGCATTATCGATTAGTGTACTTACTGTGCTTATACTGCAAGGAGACACAAAAAGAAAGCAGACTGCGACGAAATAGCATATGCAGACAAACAATCAAAACGTCGACCCAAATTGTCACGGGTCACAGGCCGTACTGTTACACGATTGTGAGCATTTTTAATTGTAATATCAGTTAGCGAAAACTGAATGACTCGAAGAGCTGAAATGAAGTGGCACTTGCATTTTTTGATTCATTGGAGAAGCTTTCTTTTGTTGAATAAACAAATTGATGATCCTCCCTCACCTGTAGACATAGATGCTTAGATAAACTAGAATACCATAGACGGAGGAAAAAAGACATTTACATTTAGATAAATGATAATCGGTGGTTATTTATAAAGCACGATATTAGTACAAGCACAGTAATTGAATGAACTCGGTGGTGTTCGGTTCAGCGTTCATGTATGATGTACAGACTTTACTGGTATCTCAGTTACAATGGAAGTTCCATAGTGACTTGCAAAAGGCTATTTAACTGTAAATAAATGTATGCAAATATACATGTGTAAAAGAACATTCCTTTCTGAGTCCTGATCGTGAAGGGTGTCTATTGACTAGAGATCGGCAGTTATATGACGTAATACAGATAAAATAGTGTGGTGTATGTGATGTATTAAATGACATAAAAAAGAGCAAAAAACAAACAAAAAAACTGCTTATTATTGGTCTCTTAAGTTGTATCATGTGATGAAAGTCTGAAGTGCGTAAAATGCATCAAATCTGTTATCTGATTTTCTTGTAAATTGAAGAGTAAAAAAAAACAAAAAGAACGTTACATTTTTTGTACATATTGGATTTTTGTAAATTTTTATTTGATTCTAATGCAACACAAAGTACCAAATTCATTTAATAAAGTACACTGTGGTCATTTTATTAGACTTCCTTGCAAACTTCTTTCGGATTTGCAGTTAATGTGTGAATAAGGTCCATTTGAATTTCCGCGACTATTTCAAGGTTGGAAGAAAAAGCAATGGTGATGACGAGCAATGCAGCTTTGTCTGTCACAACAAATGCTTGGTGATTAGTTTGTCTGAATATGTATTCTCACAACTCGTATGATTTAAGGTTTCACTCCTTAATTAGAAGAGACTCTTGGAGAGGCTGAAGGAAAATTAGGAGCATATATGATGCAATACAAAATTAAATCATGAAAAAGTAGTAAATTATTATTACTTTCCAAGAGTTTTTTGGGGGGGTTGGGGGGATTTACAATGGAAGCACAGATGCTGTAAGTCAATACCAAACCAGTTTTATAAATAGCAATGGGGCATTTGCATATCATGCACCAAACACCGGATGTGCAAAGAGATCATAAGACTGTGACGAAGACTGTGCTCATGCTGACATTTGATCTTTGTCACACACACACACACAATACATTTTCTCCCAGAGGAGCACAAAAGTGCATTAAAACGGTTTTACCAACACTGAATCCATAGGAATATGCAGTTTTATTGTGAATAATAAAATCTCTTATGAAATTATACATTTACAACCATTTATTTACACACTGATCAGATTTGATAACTGCTTGAAATAGCATTTATTGTAAGTCCATAAATTTCAGGAATGTTACAAAAAGCTTATTGAATTCTGAAAGCCCTCTATAAAATCATTAGCAGTTGCATACTTATTTTTATTATCAATGTTGTATTAAGCTCTGAGAGCAGGGCAAACCAGTATCAACTGATGCTTAAATAGACAGCAGTTCACCTCTGACAGTTAATACAGAGATATTAGACTAAAACGTGTTAAGTATTCAACAAATGTTCAAGCATGTATCTCTCATCACTATTAAGTGTGCTTGTAAAATTCCCCAAAAAATCACAGTATCCACAATTTTGAATTAATTCCTTCAGATAGGTAATTCACGAGTTAGCCTGCTCCTTCAGTCCTAAATGAATTTGGATTGCTGTCCTCGAACTCCCTATAACGTTTCTATGTGGGAGAATGAGAGAAATAGAGGAAACGCTCGTAATGATTATTGACAGGACTGAATGATCAGGCTCCTCCCGAACCTACATTTATTTATATTATCGATTTGGACAGAATGCGATTTTATTAAAAGGAGATAAAAATACTAACCAAAGGCTTTGTGGTCAAAGTTTTTGGCAGTGGTCCTTTGATTAAAACCAAAGTGTGCAAATTAAAAAATATATATATTAATAATAATAATAATATTCACACACACACAAAAAAAAAAACACACTTTAACATGCACAAGACTACATGTAACCAGATATTACAAAGACACGCACCATTATTTGATATGCAACATTGATATATATGCTGATCCGTCCACTATATCATCAGTAGTTACTAATCTCATGGTGTAACAATATCATATAATATCTCCAATATTCAGTTGAATTATGCTTGAACTTGAAGCATATTTATACGTTCAGTCTGAGAAGGCAAGTGTGCTAATCTTCTTTGTGTTCCCTTTGGAATCGCTCCAAAAGAGCTCGGAGGACGTTTCCAGGTATCTTCTGGTGCTTGTCGATTAGTGCTTGAACTGCCTGTTGCACCTGAACAGATGGGTTGGATTGAAGAGAATACACTGAATATGAGATCTTTACAAAGTCAATAGTTAAAACAAACCCCGACTCAACAGATGCATGAATTGAACATGTGACAATCTTCACTGTGAAACTAAAAGGTATTATAGGTTGACAAACGTTATAGGAAAATGACGGATTTAAAACTCAAAATAAAATCTCAGTGTGTCAGAGTTGAGTGTGTGCGTATCCATTCAAATATTTGGGGTCAGTATATTGTTGTTTTTTTACTTTCCATTCAACATGGATGAATTTAATTGATCAAAAGTGACACTAAAGACATTCACAAAGCAGACCGTGGCACAAAAGCCTCATCTGTATACATTTACATGCAAATTTAGTGACTACCGATCGAGTCCTAGAATGAGGTTATAGGAGCATCTCTAATAAAAAGGTATACAACTTTAAAACCCTACTTAGACATCTCCTACATCCATTCTGAAAACAAACATTTCATCAAGTTTTAGAGAAGGTTGTTATTACCTGATGATAGCATGTGATGAAATGAGGGGACAGACTCGGCTACTGTTCTTATGAAAGGATTTTTCTTAAACATTATACACCAAACTTTATTCACTCATAGATACCAATCTGAGGTATCCTTTATTATACAAGCATTCTCTCACTTTGCAGACTCAGTACACCTGCAAATGTGATGAATGGTGATCACCACTCTAGGGTGGAACGTGCCCTTAGGGGACGGTGTAAACGAATGGCACTAATGTATGTTGTGTACTCAACAATAGGTCAGGACTTGTCGGGACAGTCTAGAGGTTAGAACCTCTTGTAGATTTGCAAAACACCAGCTCAGCAAATACAACAAAAAGTCAGACCTTTACAGGACTAAAGAGTTACAAAAACAAACCTAGAGGTCTAAGGAGTCCTACCTTTTCAGCCAGCTCAGCTGCATTGAGTTTGGGGTCGTATGGAATGGGGTCACCCAAGTAGGTGCGAAATTTGACTGGAAATCCTCCATAGATCGGTGCTATCGGCAGACGAAACCTCTCATACACCCATCGGTAAAATCCTGAAGGAATTTGGAGATGAATTGAAGATTGACTCATTTAACTCTTTCATAATGGTATGTAATCTATTTAGAGTACTATTTATAACTGTGAGGAAAGTTCAATGTTTTCTGTAAGACTCACTTAATGTTCCAAGAGAGCGAAATCCCTCCCTCAAGTTTTGAGTAAACATTGGTATAACTGGCTGTAGGGACAAAACAGACTCTGTATAAAAGGAGTATAAAAGGAGAAGAATAAGAGGGACAGTCATTTACCACTTTAGAGTCAATGGCCACTTGTGCAAATCCTTTGCGTTTGCCCCAGATCAGAGGGTACGTCTCATCGCTGAACAGGGCCTCCCGTACTCCTCCAGGAGAGATGCCCAGAAGGTGGCCGTTCCGCAGAGCCTTCACACACTCCTCCTGCGGTCCGTGGATCACACTAAACACTTCCAAGAGGAGCTTAAACCCTGCCATGGCCATTACACAGATAATAGAAGCACAATTAATTCTAGTAAAATTGAAAATCTCACCAGAGTGTGTGTGACCTTGTTGACCATACTGAATGTAAAATATAGAAAGGACAGACTAACTTCTGTCAGGGCATTGTAGCAATATTTCTTGATACACATTTATATTTAGGTTTAAATGAAATTATTTGTGTTAAAGACAAAATGAAAATGTTGCTATTTTAAAAACTAATTGCAGATAAAGTTTTAGGACATGTTTTGTCCCAAAATTCAGTGAATCACAATGAAATTAGGTTCTGAGTAATGACTCTGTCATGAGCAAAATGAGGCTGACTGATCACTTCATTACAGTATGTAAGTTGTTTTTACCTGGGACCTTGAACAGAAAATGATCAGCCACCGAATGACAAGTTCTTCCCTTCTGAATGATAAGACTTGCCAAGAAATAATAGTAGTCTATAGGAATCGCCCCATGATAGTAGACTATGAGAGCAGGTCCTTCATCTGGAATCTTCTCTAAACCATGGATTTCATAACCTGTCACAAAATGTATACTTAATTCAACATTTGTTTGTGAAGTACAACACATTGCAACACTTGTGTGTCCAAAAGTGATTGTAAAGACATTTATAATGTATAAGATTTCTATTTCAATGATCATGGTTAAGCAGCTCAACGGTTTTCAACACTGTTGACAACGGAATGAAAATGTTTCTTGAGCACAAAATCAGCATATTAGAATGATTTCTGAAGGATCATGTGACACTGAAAACTGGAGTAATGATGCTGAAATTCAGCTTTGACATCACAGGTATACATTTGTAGCGTATCTGGGCCGCGTCAGGGTGAATCATCCATTCCAACACTGGGAACCATTCTAACCATTGACCGGTGTCTAATAATTCACCAGCTCAACGCCAGAGAGTAGAGTAGATTGCCTTTTTGACACTTTTCATGGGTCCTCATACCAATACCAGAACATCCCACACCTTCCCCCAAGCTCTGGGTCCCAAGTAGGGTTGAGTACCGAAACTCGGTGCCAATAGGGAACCGGTTCCGACGTAAACGGTAGTAACCAGACCGAATAAGAACGACAATTTCGGTGCCTGACTTAATTAGGCACACACACACACACACACACAAACACACGCACAGTCTCTTCTGTCTCGCAAGCGCGCTCTTGCTCGCAAGGTTTGGCTGCATTTCACGTGTAAAATTACGCGTCAGAACGCCCTCTGGGTGTGCCGATAGTCTGAATCCCATATAGAATCAAGCCAATTCATTGGCTAATGGGGCGGGCGCCACCTCGACGCACTTACGTCGTCATATTGTGTTGGCGCGCGCGCGCCATCTGCTCCTCAGATTTCTCTGCCGAAAAAGGAAGCTGGTCGCAGCGCGAGGAGCTTGGCAGCGTCTCGTTCCCTATTGAGAGAACATAGGTTACACCAGTAACCAGATATGTTATCTTTCATAGGTTCACTCAACGCTGCGTAGCTAAGAAGCAGTGGATTTGTAGGCTGCTGTATCACGTGCCGTTTGAACTGACGCGCTACAGCGATCTGTCACATTTCAAAGAGCCAAAAAGTTATTTATTGTGTGAATCTCGTAAAAATATTGACAGAATCTGACAGCTGTGGATTTGTTCCATATCAAAAGTAACCTTCTCTGTCTTGTCTGTCGGTGTCCTCTTTGTCTGCGATTTTTCTCTGCGTGAGAAAATGGATGTGTGGCGTGAGAGCGTGTGAAAAGGGTCAATTGCGTGAGTCTCACGGTCAATGCGTGAGAGTTGGCAGCTCTGCTAGTAATCTCTATTAATCTCCAGTATTATTACATTGTTTGATACAATATTGTTTTATTTGATATTATGTAAATGTGTAAAATGTAATGTAAATTTTTTTATTTTATATTGGTTTTATTATTACCATATGTTACTTGTATTTATATTGTTTAAAGGTTTAAGTTAATATTGTGTCCAGTTTGGCCCTGTAAATAAAAGGGTATTATTTTTTGATAAAGTGTGTTTTCTTAAGTACCGTTTCAAGAACCGTTTAAGCACTGGAATCGTTTAAAAAATACCGAGTAGGTAATGGTATCGATAAAACCAAACCGATACCCAACCCCAAGCTTCAAAGAGATCTTAATCGGCCCTCCTAGGAGGGTATGAGACCTCTGCATGTCACAGACACACACACACACACACACACACACACACGGACGGTCCTTAAACTTCATCCTATAAGACATTACTAAGGGCGTTTTCACACCTGAAAGTCCGCACCAAGGTCCGAACCAAAGTTCACGTTTTGATACATTTTATACTTTCAGAAAGTTTTGGTTTGGTTTCACACTGCAATTATGCGAGTGCACTAAAGAACTTTACGTGACATACTTACGTCCTGTCGTCATCATCTATGTGCTGCATCTTGACATTGATTGGTTTTGTAAATGGACGTGCGTCTGACGTCAGCGTGTTGTCAATTCAGCGGGTAACTTTGACAACATGAATGAACAGACACATATCGTTGCAACTATATTGTTATTTTTATGGCATAATTACCTGCAGCACCAACTATACACAAGGCTAGTTCAAATTCGCGAAATGAACGTCCTCGTCGTGCGAACATTTTATCGTCGCCGGCAGGAAAGGAGGAGAAGACTGCAAGTTGACTTCTTATTATGTCATCAGACCATACTTCAATTAAAAACCTCGTCTCCTCCTCTCCCCATGTGCTACCACGGCTCATTTTTCCTGCCACCTTCTGTTTTTTCAGCTATGCGGGAACCACCAGAACTTCCTGTAAAAGGTCTGAAAGTCCGAACCACACAGAAATGCTTTCACACTAGAAACGAACCAAACCTTTGTTCAGTTTGATCCGGACCGAGACTACCTCTTTTCGTCGGACCACATTTCATCTGTTTGGTCCGGACCGTGGTCCGGGGTAGGTTTCACACCTGTAATTTTGATTCGGACCAAACTGAAAAGTCCGAAAGTCCGTACCAAACAAGGTAGATGTGAAAGGGCCCTAAGATATATTCGATATGTTTTTAGGCTTGCCTGCGTGCCCAAGTCATAGTGGGGTATCTGTGATGTTATCGTAGTATTAAATGACTTATAAGTGCTTGTAATTATGCATTGAGATGTATCTTGGTATTCCTATTATTCGTATATGCCTTATTTGATACCATCTTGATTCTCTCTGCCTCACGGAGTTAGACACATACAGGAAATTACAGTAAAATGTATGATTCTATGTACAACAGCTTTCTGGTTAGAAATTGCATCTTTTAACAAGGCCATAAACTATGCAGATGAGCCGCTTTGACAGGACAAAGGAACATCTTCTCGCTCACAACTCTCGAAGGTGATTGGCCGTTCACCCCAAAGGAGGTGTGAACTCCATTGTCCTCAAAAGGATGGAACGCCAGTTCCTCCCTCTCTTCAACCTCTTCAACTCATCTCTTCGAGACCTTCTCTTCAGTCCATTAGTTTAGTTTTGTTTTCCCGTTTCGTATTCTACTTTGTTCATTTCCACAGACGAGTGAAATGAACTTAGCCTGAATTATTTTTCTTTCAGTAACTTCACCTTCAAGGGACCTTTAAATCTGCCGCGGCTCCGTACACTCCGGAAGGACCACGGAGAACACGTGACGCTCTGAAGGAACGACACCCACGCGCCTTCTTTATTCAGCCACACAAGAGAACCATACGTGCAAGTATTCGTTTTATCAAGCTTTTAATGCGTTTAAGATTTGTTTACCCAATTTAGGGTGATTTGATATCTTGTGGCTCGTTTCCACTGAGTGGTACGGTAGGCTACGGTACAGTTCGGTTCGGTACGCAATTATTTGCGTTTCCACTGTCAAAAGTTGTGAATGGTACCAAAAAGCCGAACCGTACCGTACCACTTTTTGGGTACCCTTCCGTTGGGGTACCTAGCACAGTGGTACGGTACTAAAGGGTGGAGCTAGACTCACTGCAGGACGGTGATTGGTTGACAGAGTATCGTCACTTGCGCGTGCTACAAGGGCATTAGAAGCATACAGTTGAAATATAATACTACTGTTATTGTGTCACGAAATGTAGTTTTAAGAGTTCCCTTTCGAACGGTCACTTCGTATTGCGTAGCTATACGCAGTGGGGAAACTCCTTTTCCTCGATTTACTGAAGCCTATATGTAAAACGCATTTGCAGCTGCATAGGCTCATAGGCTGTGCTGCAGCAACTGCACATCCAATGGCGCGGGCAAATCTGACGCACGACCAATAAGCTAGCCCAACGTCAGAGCCCGTCGAGGGGGCGTGGCCCAGCCTATATAGACCCCCGAATTCGCCATTATAGCAGATTTTACTCCTTCAGCGACAGTGCACATGTCCCTGAGCTTTTTACTGTAGTATTCGCCGTCGAACAAGCCTTTCAGCCTGAGCGAGCTTCTCTTCAGCAGACTTTGCCTGCACGTCGATTGTCTCCTGACGCCGTCTCACCTGTGGCTATCCGGCGACATCCTATATCCTTTGTACTATTATTTGTAAGATTTCTTTTCAGTATGCCTCGTTCATCCTGCGCCACGTGCGGAGGCCATCTGCACGAGGCAGACCAGCACACGAGCTGCATTTCCTGCCTGGATGTCGACCACGCAGAGAATGCTCTCTCTGCCGGCGGATGTGAGGCCTGCGACAGCATGCCTATCTCCGTGCTGCGCAATCGGCTAGTTCTCTCCCGGGACGGCGAGGCCGCTTCAACCACGCTTTCCATTCCGAGGAAGAAGAAGCGTCGCAGCCAACGGCAACCGGAGGGTATGGAGATTTGTGAACGCACGCCGGCCGCGTCCCCGCGTGTTTCACTTTCTCCGACTCAATCGCCATCACCGGTCCTGTTCGCAGGAGACCAGCCTATATAGTCAGTCAAACACTCAGTATGTGCACAAATCACATTATAAGGGTATCAGGTCCCCCTATGTTAGGCGGTCCCCCCCATTCAGTGTGTCACGCCCTAGCCACACGAGTGATGGCCTGGCAAGCCATCCCTGGTGTGTCGAGTTGGGTCATAAACACTATAAAGCGAGGCTACTCGCTCCAATTCGCTCGCAGACCCCCGAAATTCCAGGCGGTTATCGAGACATCGGTGAGAAGCGGCGTGAATCACGTGCTTCGCACCGAAGTTCAGGAATTATTAGCAAAAGGAGCGATAGAGTCAGTCCCCGCCGCGCTAATGTATTCGGGGTTTTACAGCCGCTATTTTCTAATTCCAAAGAAAGACGGCGGGCTCAGACCCATACTAGATCTGAGGCGTTTGAACAGGGCTCTCATGAGACGGCCTTTCAAAATGTTAACACTCAAACAAATTCTCGCGCAGGTTCGCCCGGGGGATTGGTTTGTTTCAATGGATCTGAAAGATGCATACTTTCATATTCAGATCGACCCTCGTCACAGGCCATTTTTGAGATTCGCCTTCAAGGGGAGGGCATATCAATACACCGTTCTGCCGTTCGGTCTGGCTCTGGCACCTCGTACATTCACGAAATGTATGGATGCAGCGC